TCTAATGACAATGGAAAATAAATTAAGTACATGTAGATATATAATATATATTCTATATTTTGATATCAAAACTCTCTATCACAGTTTTAATTTTATTTTTAAAAATACTATAATGTATTATAAAAAATTTGCATTTAATATTTTTTTTTTTAAGTGTAATGAATTATTATACAACTATGGTTATTGTTATTATTATTATTATTATTTTAATGTGTTTTTGAATGAACGAACGAATGGAACATTTTACTTTAGTTGCAATTAAATAACTTTGCATTAATTTAAGAATATTTTTTAAAATATATTTTTCTTTCATATTGAAGTTCACTATTTGTTATCAGTTAGAAACTTAGAAATTACTGTAGTCTGTGAGAAAGTTTTATGTGTTTATGTAGTTTTTGCGATTTAATACGAGAAACGATGAGAAATTTCTAAAAGCTTTTTGAAAGTTAAGTGCTTTTAAATTTTATATTAATTACTAATAAAGTTTTTAATAGTATTATCTATATAATTATTATAATTATAATTAGATTGAAGACAAACAAACAGAAAAAATATGTTCATACATTCCAGTTTGATGAGCAATAATTCAAAATAATGACTAGTTTAAGTAATTATAAGTACCTATACTTGGTCATTGTGTCAATTAATATTAAATATCATATTTATTTGTCTCATATTAAGTTATATGTATGATTATTAAGTCAAAATATTTGGTAAAACGTATAAGATATGATAATATTTTTGACAAAATTACAAAGGTTCAAACATTTTTACCTTTAAAAAATATTTAAAAAATGATCTACTTTAATTTTATATAGATATTTAGTATAAATTATTATTTTTTCATCATACTGATGAGTTACTGATACTAGTTTTATTAAAACTACAGTAAAAATTGGTTAAAATTTTTAAGGACCAGCAAATTTTCCTCGTTATAAATGATAAGTAATTCTGTATACGGTTAGAACAAATATTCGTTGTAACTGGATAAAACAAATGCTCGTTATAAACGGTAAGTAAGTGAAAAATATATAAAAAAAAAAAACTATTTTATTTTACTTATATATAATTTGGAATAATACGGTATCTTTAAATAAATATATAATTTAATTACGTATTTAACTAAAAAAAATTGGAATTATTGTAAAACTGAAATACACTAAACAGTGAACAATATAATATATTATACACATTACACACTGTCTAAACCTTTACATAACTGACTAATGATATAATTAATACTTCATTTGAGTGCGTGATATTTCTATCGGAAACAATTTATTATCTCTTATTTTGTAAAACGAAATTACTAATACTCGGTACATATATATTAAGTCATAAAGATGACGCAATGTCTTAAACATTAAAACAAAAACCAAATTTCAACAAAGTCACAGTAGATATTTCATTTTTGAGTAATATTCTTTGTGTATACACATATGCATGTACCTAAGGTATTTTGTTTTTCACGAGTATAAATTAAGTGTCACATCATTGCGAAAGAAGAGTGCCGCCGAATTGGATATAGGTATATGATACAATATTTATACATTATAAACACGGTGTAGACTGAACACTGTACACATCTATAAGTTATAACATATTATGTTGATGTGGTAAAACTAAGTTTAGACTGTTTAATTAATCATGTATACGAAACGAATACGATAGAAAATATATTCAAAAACAAATTATATATACGTAGGTATATACATACAAAACGTATAATACAGATACAGATGCGATGTTTATTACTATTTAGAAAATTTTTTATAGAAATGCGATCTCAAAACAATTTATTTATCCCTTTCACCGAATGATAGATGGATGCACGCGTTGTGTAAAATTTAGTAGATATATATAGATACTCTATACCTATACATATGATTCGGACAACAATTCACTTCTACCTGTTTAACTTTCATTCAACATACTGACCCCTAAACCCGCATTACTGCCAATGAAATTCACTACATTCCGTTGCCCTTATGATTACATTTAAGTACTAAACTTGTACTGTAATTTACTGAGTTCATACAAAACGGTTTATAACATTATAACACTGAGCACATGTTTGATCAATGACCAGTTATAACTATAAGCAATTTTATTACATTTAAAATATATATTTTAAGTTACAGAAAATTGCATTGATTAATTAATTTTTGTTATTATACAGTAGATAATTATCAATTATTATAAAATAGAAAATTTTTAAACTATTATTTCACGCATTGTTAAAACACTAGGTACATATTATTATTATACACTAAGCAAAAATAACTAACTAACAATTATTGTTTGTTTTATTAAAATTAAATTAGTATTTAATATTTGTTTACATAATATAATTTTAAAAGTATTAAAATATAAAAAATATACAAAAATTAATAAAAAGATATTATACCTAGTACAAATGTGTAATCGAATATCAAAATAATAATTTATATAACTATTAAATTTTAAACTTGTTTTTAATAGATTTAAATGATCTGTTACTGTGTATAAAATATCTATAGTATTGAAGTCAATTTAATATTTAATTTCTTATAAATAAGGTATTCAATAGATACTCACGAATTAATTAAAATAATGGATTTAACGTTTTGAAAAATAAAAGTACTTTGTAACTACAAAATAAGTTTTAATGATATTGTTTTTTTTTTTTTTATTTAATTATTTTTCTTATTTACAAAAAGTAATTTTTTTAATCGCGTACTTAATTTTATTTATATTTAGTATTCAATATACCTATATTACCAATGGTTTTATATTATATGCCTAGAATAATTAAAATTAACGATTTTATAAATAAATATGAAAATTAATTTAAAAAAAAAAAAACGAATGAGCCTATAAGGCGTTACTAATTTAATTCGTAGAAGTACAACACTTGATCATGTGACAAAGAGAAAAATAATATGGCATTAGATCGTTAAAAAAAATCATCTTATTAACTAATTTGTATCGATTTTAGCTCTAATGGACGGTGAATATTTAACGGTTTGTATTTATTTTGACGATATTTTAATAGTCACTATTTTTTCGATCACTTATAGTACAATAAAAACTTTATAATATGAATTAGTCATGCTACACAAAAACTATTGATCAATAACAAAAAATAAAAAGTAGAGTAATAATTAATTGTAATAAAAATTATACACATATATAATACTATATGTGGTATACGACGTATTCCTATTATAGTTCTGAAATACTAAAAATAGTAAAAATACGTTAAAATATGTTTAACTGAGTGCTGAAAGGTAACTAATAAATGGAACATTAAACAAGTAAACTTAAAAATTAGCACATCACTTTTAGTGCACGTTTATTTATTTTATTGAACTACAATCTATGTTTAAATACAAAATAAATTGAGAAATAAGGATTAAATAATCCTTTAAAGTAGATATATTTTTTAAATATCTATGTTATAATAAAAATGAAAAATGTCATACGTAAATAAGTATCTTATAAATTATTACTATTCTCTATTATACCGCGATGTATAACAAATCCACAATTATTACGAACTTGAATATCGAGCTACCAAAAAATCAGTTTATTTATACGGTAAAAAATATTTGAATGATAAAAAATGTACATACATAATAATAATAAATATAAATAATATAAGCATCATAAGGGTAAGCAAATTGTGACACATGGATACATTTTATTTGGACACAAACGATATATTAATTATTTTAGTTATTATATAATTTATTTTTATTGTGAATCAAATTAAGTTTTTATTTTTATTTTTTTACACAACAGACGTATAAATGAGAAATTACATAAATAAAATAGACCTACCTATAATCCACAATATGCAAAAATAATTAAAATATTATTGTGATCAAAGAATTCAAATATACTTGGACCATAATAATATAATATATGATATATTGTAGTTAAATAATTTTATTCGAAAATCAGTTATCATGAATAAACGCATAAAAAACTATTATTTTAATATGAAAAATTTTGCAACTTCAAGCAAATACTATAATAATTAATAATGATTATTATTTTATTTGTACTACCGATATCATACTGTAGGTATATGACACTAAAGCAATTTTTGAAGGAAGGTACAAATCTTTAATACAATATGTTATTTATTGTTTAGTATACACATTATACATATTTTATACATGTATAGGTATATAAAGAGACGAAAAAATTGTACTGTAAAATCATAATACATTTTTATTTTAGTATACAGTTTACAGGCAGTAACTTTCGAGAAGGGTCGTGAACACATCTGTCGCAAATTCCGGTCAAATTTTAAATACGATCGACCGCCGTCCAACCATATCGACTGTGTGGTAAGCGATTTTGGTGATATATTTCTACCGTTTCTCTTCCACGTCCTCTGCGTCAACTGAATTTCGATTAAAATATTTTCACGTCATCGTCCAATTCTCGATCAAACCGTTTTCGCAAGTGCATATTACCTACGAGCATCAATATTGTGCGTGTACAGTGCGATGACGTTCTGGCAAAACGAGTCTCGAAATAATTAATGGGTTTTTGAGCCCATCATCGTCATCGTTGCAGCTGTTCCGGGCTGAAGAAACGCGACACCGTTGTGCAAAAATAATGTTCCGGTGTCGCGTTGAAGAATGATGCATCAGTAGTCTCACTTATTAAATATAATTGTTCCTGGTAACTGAGAATAGGCGGTAGTTTTGTATACAACATTACGACCGTTAGAATTTATAACGATTTAATTATGGCATCGAGTATTTGACACTCGAATTTCATCACGAATCAATCGACAGAACAGTGGTTAAACAATATTATTATTTATTAGTTATTTCGATGTGTTTTAAATAATATTAATGTTTTGAGGCTTATGCAAACCGGTTTGTACCTGCATAAGGCATCGGCACGGACCACTAGATGGCGACGAAACCGTCGTGCAATAACAGCTGACGCGTCGCGACAAGACCGTTCACGTTTCTACTGTTCGGTGTTTGCCAGTTTCGGTCAGTACGCGGTTTCACTTATCACGGTTAGTCGTGCGTCTGTTGGTCGTTGTCCCAGCGTGTTTTGTTATTGTTTTAGTGATTACGCGTGTTTTAACGATAATAATAATAATAATAATATTTGCGCGTAGTAATTGACTGTTTTTTTTGTTTTTTATCGTCGTCCCTCGCTGGTCTCTTCAAATCGGTTCGTCGAACACCCGAGGATTCACCGTCTGGCAAGAGTTAAACTCGAGTGAGTACCTACTTATGTGTTACAATACTCGTCAATTTTATTCTTAATAAACATGCCAACGACCGAATTCCGCCTCGGTGGTGTAACCGAAGGGTTGGAGGAGGTACTGGAATGGGTTTGGCAGACGTCGTTTTACTATTTCTCACGGGACACGGTTTAGCCTACCACCCGCACGTTGTTCCCGCCACTGCCGCTCTACCATCGGTAGGGCGGCGGTGGCGTACAAAACCCGTTTGACCACATTCTGGTGCCGCCGCCGCCACAATTTCTACATATGAGAAACCTATGGAAAAATGCGTACTCTTAGTATCGAAAAAATAACGACGATACCTATTTAATGATATACATGCAAACACGCCGCCCGTTAATCGGATGATTCGATTAGAAGTTTTTTCAACCCCTGTCTTCCGTGTTCTAGTTTTTTCTAACACGAAACCCCGCCTTCGGTGGTGGATTACTCGGTTTTTCACGTCGCTAAGTAATTCAATTACCGAGTTTAATAAATAGGTAAGTGTACCTACCTATTACCTATTATCATAATATACATGCATACCGCCTGATGATTGTATATGTGTAATAACTAATAAATAATAATATATTGTTTGGAGGTGTGTTACACGGTGTGTTATACTGTTTACGATTCATTGTTATTGTTGTCGTTTTATTATTATTGCCAACGAGACGGTGCACGCATTATCGAAACGTAAAATGAGAATATGTACGCCGCCCTCAACGGAAGAGGTACAACGATTTTTATTAAAGATAACGGTGTAATGTGTAGGCATAAGACATCGACGCATTATTGTAGGTCTGCTTCTAACGGGTGCGGTGAGAATTTTTTTAAAAAAATTGTATTTTAAACAATAAAGATGCCATTGTTCGATATCGTGTTTTACTTTTGTTCGAACCGATATCTGACCGTCTCTACTTACCCGAAGAACGATGTTAATAATAAATAATTTAATAAAGTTGTGTGTTCAATTAATCTACTTAAATAACTCGTTAAATAATAAATGAAAAAAAAAAAGACAATTTAGTCGTAAAATCGTATTTATATTGTATTATCGTGTCCAATTATGGTTATACGTACAGGGTGCAGTCCTTTGTAGAGCTATAGTAGGTACGATGATGTCCTTAATTTGTAATTTATACTATAGTTTAGAATAACACATCGATTTTCATACTGTTATGTTTAATGCTCATCAATTAGACGGTTTTTATTCTTTATTTTCAATATCATATAAGTAGGCAATAAGAATCAACGGAGTATCAATAAAAATATAAAATTAAAGATAATGTATTCAAATCATAATGATTGTCGTTTTTACATTGTTAATCCTAGTTTGTGGAAGTATCTACTTACAGTACACCTATATCCATTTTACTAGACTAAAAATTATATACTTATTATACTTCTAAGTTATATAGTGCATAAAATATGTATAATATATATATTAAATATTATCATTCACAAAATACATAATAATATTACATTTTATATATTATTTTATATCAGAGTGTATAATATTTAATAGAATTTTCTATTAATACGATTAAAAAAATATAAGTATTATACTATTATAGTACATATTCATGTATTAAATATCTATCGATTAATATTATCGAACAAATCTTAAGAATGACAAGTATAATTTAAAACATTCATAAACAATATCAAGGTTTTTCATCTATATTTTTAATAATTTATGATAGTTCAATTGAGTTAATTGGAATATCATAATTAGGTTGTAATTTAATATAATTAAAAATAATTACATTTGTGAAATTCATTAGTTAGGTATTTTATTGTATTTATATAAATAAATTGAAATACATTGTCTGTCTGTTTAGTTATTTAAATATTTTTGAATTCACATTATGACTTTATAAACTTTATAGTATATTCCTAAAATTTTTGAAAACCTATTAAAATTATAATTAACTATTTTAAGGGAAATAAGGTATTTATATAAACCTATATACCTAAGTAGTTTAATTTTTATTTTTAAATTGTTTACACTTCGAACGCATGATTAACAATATTGTGTACTCAATGACTTCAATATGCACTTAAGCTCGAAAGTCAATATTTGTTAAGTGTCATGAGTCTTATTTTCATATTTTATGACAAGAATTAGTTGCATAGTGCAGACACTTGTAAACTGCAGCTTGTTCATAATAATACGTTGTATACGTATAGTATATTATCATGTATATAATGCGTGTTAATCAAACAACACTATCCCATGTATTATACTACCTGTGTCCTATTTTTTATAAATTAAATCAGTATGCGCAAAAACGAATAGTTAGTATTATATTTAGAATTACTCATATTATTTAAATACTATGAAACAGTAAAATAATTATGATATATACAGATACACTCAGGTTGCCTCTTTTTATCGGTTAGTAAAAACTTATTACTTTAATTGATTGGTTGTGTTATAATTTATTGTTTATAGTATAGCTTACATTCATAATGTACTTTATCTCGAAGATGGTTAATAATTGAAACATTATAATATTCATATTGCTGTGTTCTGTACAAAATCTATAATATTATGATTCGTATTATTAAAGTAATTTGAGCTGTAGCCTAGTGTATTATGAGTATATACATTTATATATTTTTATTTTTATTTTAATATTATATATAATAATAATTGATTTAATTATATTCAACATTATGATTAGTCAGTATGTGACTAAATTATTAAATGTTTGATTATGTTATCTGTTGAATGAATAAAAGCTTTTCACTGATGATGATTTTACTTAGTTTAACTTTTAAATGGTTATATAAAATTAATTTTTCGATAAGCATCTAGTTGTTTTCTACTAGTTCTTAAACAAGGATGCCTAGTACATGATGTATGCCTATACATGGACTTAAGTGGCAATAATTTACTAGTTACTTCACACATTGTATAACATTTTCTAGCTATAGTTAACAGTGAAAGATGTCGAATGCCGACAATCAATAATAATAAAAAAAAAATTGGATGAGTACTAGGTAAGTATACTAGTTGATTTTTCTCTGTAGATGTTTGACTTAGCGCTCTCGTTTATATCTACTACATGTTATCAAAATATGACATCCCATGATTTTAACGAGAGCGATGTTTTATGTAGGTAGGTTATATATTATAAACATTGAACTCTATTTGTTTATTGCGTGTATCGATCTCATTTAAAATCGTCCTTATGTAGTAATAAGCTCCATACGAGATTTCTCGCTGTTATGTTTTCATGTTTAGAAAATATGAATATAATAATATAGTAGTAACTCCTAAGAGCTAGGTCGTGCAAACGATGTGCTTAATATTATGAGCGGCTTGACGTGTACGTGTGGGGAAATTAACGCCACGTTCATTTTTCGTGTGTTAATTCATGTCAGTACTAATATTTTCAATGTATAGTTCGTGCAACTTGTACAGGGTGAGCAAAAAACGTTATGTACATACTAGCATAATATAATATACCTATATACGTGATCGAGCTAATTTTCGTGACACTTGGATCATTATACCGATTGAAAATCGTGTTAGCCATTGTATATAACAATCGGCCATAGTTGTCTAATCATGTTTATTGCGTGCTTTAGACGAATTTTAATGAGCAAGTATTTATTTTTAAATTACATACTATTCACGATTTTTTTTTTTTGTCTCGTAAATATCATTACGAAAGAAGATCGTATTATTTACTCTAATATGTAACTTTAGAAATTTAAAACACAACGTTGCGTTATCATATGATAATAGACTCGATATTAGATATCAAAGATAATCAATATACAACTTCATTTGAATATTTTCCAAATATTTAAAAACAAAAAAAAAAAAACTAATAAATTTTTAATTTTAATTTCATTTGTGACATTGAGGTTAATAAAAAAAATTTAATTGTATCCATCATAAATAATTTTTTGATTTTGCTTTCATAAATTCTAAACTGAAATGTTTTATTAAATAAAAACTCGAATTAGTATTACTTAAATGTACCTATATGCGTAGATACTAGATACATTATTTTATCAATGGCTGGTTCAAGTAATAACTAGGACTAGGAACTTGATGCATTTGCATTTTTTTTTATTTATTTTAATATATTGCTCATCTTTATAAAAATTTAATTTGTAGAGTATAAAATCTAACAGTATAATTTTTATATCAAATTTTTTGCGTTTTAGAGAGTTAATGCTTTACAGTCATTTTTTAGTGCATTTTATTCTTTTTGAAATGCTTTTTTGTATATGTTTTGTTTTTTATTGTTGACAGTTAGGTACACTTTTGTTACGCATTATTAAATTATTAATATAATTATTCAGAAAAAATATAATAATAACATGATATTGAATAGCTTTCAATTATTTGTTGAAATATGTCTATTATATTTATATTTATGACAAAGGAAAAAATTGCACTATATATTATATTTTTTTAAGGGTAAAAGAAAATAATAAACTGGAGTATCTAATACGAGTATATAGTTTTATTTTAATATTTTTTACATTAAAATATAGATTTTTAATTTCATTTTTTCATTAATTCTTTTTATATTTTTTGATCAAGATCCTGGCTTTAGTAATGAGTAATAACGAATGACTGAGAAAGAGTAGGATAGAATAGGCAATACATTTAATGGGCTGTATAAACAATTACTTTAACAAATTATTGTTCATCCAAATAGAAAGATTTATAGTAGGTTTTTTATACATAGAACACATATTTTAAGTACACAAAACGTGAGTAAACAGAAACAGTTTATTATCTAGATACATATTTAAAAGTATATTGTCAACATTACTATCATTGTGTATATAATTTTGGTACTTAACTTGGGATAAGTAGGTATTTTATTATTTTTTTTTTTTTTTTAACAAAAAATTTCATAGTTATTTTGGTATATTTTTCTATTTTAAATTAATTAATATTATTTTGTTTATCGATAAATTCAGTTTTAAAAATGTCGAAATTCTATCATTGTTTATATTG